GAACTTTGTAATTGTTGTCTGTGCAGTCAGATGTCACTAGGAGTATCCAGTGTCCACTGTCTCAAAGTGAACATGACTGGTCCTCGGGAACATGGGGGAGGAGCAAACCCCCAAATCCTAATCTTCAGTGTTCAGCTAGGAAAAAGTACTCAGGGATAAATTTAGGGCCCACTTCAGGAAAGCATCCCTATTCAGGAAAGGCACATAGATAACTGCTTAGCTTTGAGTGTGTGCTTTCCTGAATCGGGGCCATTATGAACTAACGTTAGTGCCACAGATCAAGGCTTGCAAAACTTCATTTGCTAAAAAAACAGTTTCGCTCCACAGCCACATGACGAGGCTGAAAATGATAAAAAAAATGAATGCAAGTGAAACAAAATTACAAGCACCCAGCTGTTTGGGCATATCTGCAGAATGAATGATGAGTGAAAGGTTAAGACCCTGGTATTCGGCATAATGGATGGTCCGAATGGGAGAGGCAGACCCCGCAGAGAAAGGGGAGATGATACAGTAGATTGGTGCGGAGCTAGTCTACAGAAACTAAACCACTCTGTACTGGACAGGGAAAGATGGAAGGAAATAGTGAGGGAGGCGTTGGACACCAATGGGCGTTGAGCCCATGGTTGTTGATGATGATGAAATGAACTTGTGTTGCGTCTGACAACCCGTGGGCCCAGGTTCAGCCTCAAGTGCATCACATGATGAAGTACCAAACCTGATGATGGCAGAGGAAATAAGGGATGATTCTTAGCAGGCTGAGTACTGCTGCCGCACGTACATCATACCTACATTCCCTTTAGCAAAAAGCCTTTTGGGAAAGGTTGCCGATGCACGTGCACAATGGACTGTGAAAATGCACTTTGTGGGATCAGGACCGACTGATGTGTGAGTGGTGCGCCTCGAGGATTTCCGCCTGTCAGTGAACGTTACTTGGCCTCCACTTTTGCGAGTTTTCACATTAAACACCTGCGATTGGGCAGTGAGTGTCCGATCTTGAATTTTATAGCACTTCTGGCTTGATTTAAACCCATTGGCACTGGAGACGGGGGGATGGGAAGAATGTAGGGCTTTTTGTCATGGAAACACCAGTTGCATTCTTTGAGCATGGACTAAGATCCGATAAACCTCATGGCAGAAGAATCAGGAAGCGTTTTACCAAAAGCCGAATGTCTAGAACAGGGGTTCTCGAACGTCATTGCACTGTGATTGCCTGCTGATAACGAAAATGACTGCATGGTCCTCGGAAGGGAACCAATGCCTGAACCTCATGGCCCCGGAGCCGAGCCCAAGCCCTGCCACAATGGGGGGCACCAGAATGTGGGGGCTTCAAGCTTGAGCAGTGGAACTCAGACTTTGGCTTCAGCCCCGAGCCTCAACAAGTCTAACGCCAGCCCCGGTGACCCACTTTAGGATCCCGACCCACGGTTTGAGAACCGCACGTCTAGAAGTCCAGTGGGTTCATATTGTATCTCTTCGGAAGCAGATTATTAATCGAGCAAAGCAGGTGCCCTGAATTGTAAACGTGGCAAGTTGGTCATCTACCCTTGTATGCAGACCCTATCCAGGCTGGAACAGGCTCATGAGCTGCAGTGAGGATGGTCAGCCCCAGCAGCTGCAGCTGTAATGGGTCTCAGTCTGTAGGAAGGGGCTGAAATGGGAAGAGTTCCCCTACTGGCGACCAGCTGGCCGGAACGGAGAGCAACCCAACTGCTATCACTTGAAGGGAGGAGCCTGGCCGAAGCCAGAGCCCATGTAGGAAGGTGGCTGGTCAGAGCCCACCATGCTGGACTCTAAGGGTTTATTAGGGACCTGGTTATGAAGCCAGGAGCCTGCAAGTAAGACCCCATGGGAGGGGAAGGATGGGCCCTGGAGTAAGGCTGATAGAGCAGATGGGCAAATACCCATCTGAGGAGCTGAGCACTAAACCCAGCTTGGATAAAGTCTCTCTTACTTTGTGTGGCTTAGGAATCCACTCCCCTGGAAGGGGTAAGGATTGAACTTTTGTAGTGACCTGGACAGATCAGGCTGGCAACCCTGTACGGGGGGAACTGAGGCAAAGCAGCTGCAGCATCATGCCAAGCCATGAGAAGGCACGTGGGGACAGTGCCTTGATGACACCCCTGCTGTCTGTACACTCGCTTACGTGAAGCATGCGTAGAGTCATTAAAGCCATGAAAGCCAGCAATGCAACTCCATCCTGAAGTCAGTCCATACTGCTACTTGTTCTTACTGTGTTGGTGGGGGCTGGGACTTCCAAAGGAAACTAGGGGTATGCAGGACCTATTTTGGTAGGATTTGGGACTTTCCTTAGGCTTATCTGAAATCCCCAGCCTTAGACGATCTCCTTCTCTTTGTTTTGTCTTTCAGGGCATAAATCCACCTTAAAGTGCAAGTTCTTCTATATGATTTGCTCATTTCATTTTCGTAACACACACCCCGCTACAGTGAGTATGGGAAATTTGTCCCATTCTGCAGAAGGGGAAGAGCAGTTGTGCAATGCAATTCATGCAAGTATTGGCCAGCCAATACCTTGAGATTAATTGTGAAGCAATTTTTAAGTTCATCAGACCATGGCTCAGTACCATGTCATCTGACAAATCGGCTTAGAAAAGTGGAGACTAGGGGGGATAGGATAGAAGTCTATAAAACCATGATTGGTGTGGAGAAAGTAATTAAGAAGTTATTTACCTGTTCCCATAACACAAGAATGAGGGGTCACCAAATGAAATTAATAGGCAGCAGGTTTAAAACAAACAAAAGGAAGTTTTTCTTCATACAATGCACAGTCAACCTGTGGAACTCCTTGCTAGAGGATGTTGTGAAGGCCAGAATTTAACAGGATTCAAAAAGGAGCTATATAAATTCATGGAGGATAGGTCCACCGATGGCTATGAGCCAGAATGGGTAGGAATGGTGTCTCTAGACCAGGGATGGCCAATCCATTCCGAACAAAAAGCCAAAATAGCAGTGAATACAGCACAAAATGCCAGGGCAAAATTGTTAAGCGAGAAAAAAAGACTGCCCCTTTAAGAAAACAATTTTTGGCCTCATCAGGCTCCCACCGGCCACCGCCATCTTGAGGACGCCATTTTGAATGGCTGCGCTGGACAGCTCCCTTGCCCCGGTGAGCACAGGGAGTTGGGGGATGCAGGGGCCGTTGTCAGGGGCACAGGGGCGGCTTCACGAGTCACACTTTTGGGGGGGAAGAGCTGCATGCGGCTCGTGAACCACGGGTTGGCCACCCCTGCTCTAGACTCCGTTTGCCAGAAACTGGGAATGGGCGACAGGGGAGGGATCACTTGATGATTCCCTGTTCTGTTCATTCCCTCTGGGGCACCTGGTGCTGGCCACTGTCAGAAGACAGGATACTGGGCTAGATGGACCTTTGGCCTGACCCAGTACGGCCCTTCTGAGTTCTGCAAAGTTTCAAACACCACTTAGCCTGACTTCTTCATTTTCTTTCCATTTGAAACTTGAACTTTTAAGGAGGGAAAAATCTGGATCCTAAAGGGGAGATAAAGGACTGAGATCTGAGCGAAGAAGCTTGTTGCAGTGAATTAATTCTAAGATGTCGCTGGCTCTCCTCTGAAGGGACTACAGATTAAGATGATTAAGAAAGGATTCGCTTTGTCCACTAAGCTAGTCCTTGCAGCTTGGAACAAAAGGAGGGCTTCTGTTATTTGAATTCAAAGTAAAAGAATAATTTTTCTGACTAAAAATAAAGTCGTAATTAGAATAGATGGCCTAGTAACTGAGGTTTAGCCACTCCTCCCCATTTTGGTTCCTTTTTCACATGGAAACCAAATCCAAACAGAGTCACCCCACGTTTTAGGACATGCAAATCGGTTTAAAGCCCTTATGTAAGGGTGTGTCAGAATGTCATGAAAGGATAAAGGAGCAGACAGTGAAATATTTAGAACTCCGTAAAATTGGGGATTGCTGAATGGGGAGGGCATAGATCTAGGGGGACATTCCCCTTGCTTATGCTCCCAGTTAACCCAAGATCCTCTCTTATTTGGCGTATGCGGTAGTGGAGAATGAGCTGCCTTGGGGCTATGGTTGGAAATAGAGTGCTAGCACTGTAAGAAAATAAAGGGGGGAGAGAAGGGAAATCCAACCCACTATTGCCAGACCCAAGTGCTCGAAGCTCATGAGTCAAGTCCTTGCAAATTATGAGATAAATAAAAAAGTCATGATTTTTTGCCAAAGTAAAAATGATGGGTTGTTCCTATTTGCTTTCTGCATTGGGATCACATTCTCAAGCCTTTCTGTGGACCCATAAAGCACATGCTGTCCCTTTGACTGCAATGAGACCTAAGCGTGGGCCTAGGAGAGGTTTAGCTACGTCGCAGGCTCAGGGCTCCCTTAAAGCAGGTCTACATTAAAGAGGAAGGTCCAATCAAGATTGGCATCTCCAGCTGTGTTAATTATGTAGGTGGAGTCGATGTACCTTGTTTCGAGTTTCCCCAAAATGTGAGGCCGACAGGAGCAAACAGTCCTGTCAGCTTCCCTTAATTCTCGCACAAGGCTACCTTCTGACGGGGTGCCCTCTGAGTTTGATTTAGTGAGTCTTAAGTAGACTCACTAAATCAAACTCTGGAAGATCAATCGCAGCAGCGTCGATCTTCTGTTTATTGAAGACTGCCTTAGAACAGAGCAACATTATTTTCCAAAAATCTCAGTGTCGTCACCCCTTTCTAAACACATATCTCGCGGGCCTGCCAACTTTTAGTCATACAATTAGGCTTGTTACAGTTGCTGAAATTATTGATATAATTCAGGATTACTCAAGTAAGTGTGGATTTGCTGAATCAAGCCCTGCAGTAGCTTGGTGGGGACCCCACATGCCTCTTTGTTGCACAGAGAGGAGTAGAAATTGTGCAATAATAAAGGAAAAACAGACTGGCGTAGAGGGGAAATGCACCTATGTTCCTCTACTAGCCTCACCGAACAGCTCCACACTAGCACCAGTGAATGTTGTCAGAGCTGAGAAACGTGCAGCAATGCCTTTGCATGGCATGTCTCCTGAAGAAACCCATAGCGGTTGCACAAATATTTACCATTTAAGTTGTTTCTCCAAGCAGCGTTGACTTTGTGTGTGTGTGTGTGTGTATGTTGAAAGCTGCTTTAAAGGGCACCAGGTGTGTGCCTGCCACCAAGGTAGCCATACGGCTCCCAGCCCCGCATATGTATGGGGAGTATGTCACAGGTCCACTGTGGAGATTTACAGCCCCCAGTTAAACTGCGTTGGCTCAGAGGGCAGCTGGCTGCCCCATACTCAGGATCTGGGCCAACCTGGATCCTCTGTGCATTAGGGTTTGAGCCATGCTCCAAAATTACCTCAGCAGGCCTCATGCCGAGGGAGGATAAAGCAAACAACCCCATCCCGGCTCTCTTTCCGGCCAGCGAGAGAGTACATTTTCCGGGGCTTTTCCTAGAGTCTCATGAGAAATACAGGTGTTTGTGTCTCTTTTTACCTCAGTAAGCGCTGAGAGCTGGAGTCTCCTCTGTCGACAGCTTTTCAGCCGGGGCTGTTGGTGAGTATTTCTGCTTGGGGCAGGAAGCTGGCGAGCCTCTTACCTAGATTACTTTGGGGAAGAAAAGGAACCGTTTTAGTCGCTCAGCTGCGTGATAAGGAAGGACTTTAAGCACAGAGTTGAAGAGCAATCTTACATTTCCCCAGCTGTTCTATTAAAATTCTGCTGAATTTCAGCGATCCCCGAGATTGTATGCTAATTCTGCCTCGGAGAGGACTCTGGGTTTTTTGTATTGTCTGCCACGGGCATATGGCAGCAGTAGGAACGGTTTCCATAGCAACCTTTCAGCACTATGACATCACCAGTGCTGTCAGATTTAAGCCCTTCAAGGCTTTTGGATTTCAAGGATTACATAACTTTGGAAGGGTTAGGCTGGGGCATGGATCTAATCAGTTTTCAAGGCTTTAGTCAAATTAAAATGAAATAAAAGTTGCGTGGCCCCATCAGCGGTGGATCTGGAGCGTTTTGCAACCTAGCTATGCGTGCGCTGCAGCCTGCTGGGTTTCAGGGACAACTCAGGACGGGGAGCCCAGCAATGGAGACACCAATTTAACCCTGTTTCGGGATTGTTTTCGAGTCCTGCTGCATTCCCCATTATTTTGTACCTCTCCCAAAGTGGGCTGGGTCGCCTTGTTGCAGCTGTGGCTGAGAATCACTTGGTCCACGAAGCCAGGATGGACTGCCTTTCCTCGGTTACTTTAACGCCCAGAATATTTATTGGGTGGGTTGGGAAGAGGTGTAGACATTTTAAAAAAGACACAGCTCTGCGATTTTGGAATAGCCACCCACCCTCGGGGTTTCCCAGCACAGCCCCATTTGTGGGCCTGTGGGCTGTGTGGTAGGACATGGTGTGCCACTAGCCATCATGCGACCCCGATAACATCCGTGTATCGCCTGCCTGCACCACTGTTTTACCTTCCAGGTGGCAAGAAGGAGCAGTGCTGGGAGAGATTGCATGATGCCTGCTAGAGATGTCAATGTTTAACTGGTTAACCAGTAAGCCTCATGCTTAACGGGTGAGGCTTACTAGGTAAAGTTAACTGGTGGGGGCTGGAGCATTCCCTCCCTGCCACAGACAGGGGGCTATTCCAGCCACAAACGGGCTGTTCCGGTCATCTGGAGAATCCTCTATCTGTCACACGCCTGTGGTGTGGAGACCACTCCTGCCCCGGAGAGGGGGGACGGGGACTGCTCCAGTCCAGTTGGGCCGGAGCTGCCCCCCACCACTTCTTTAATCCATTAACCAGTTAAACAGAAGCAGGAGAACGGTGTAAACCGAGCGTTTCCAGACTGGTGCCCTGTTGGATGGAACAATCAGTTCACTCTACACAGAGTCACTTGGAAGAGGGCAGAATAAATTTGAGCTGGCAGGCATGTGCATCTATGCGTGCATCTTGGTGCTGTGCTTTCCGGGGGTGTGTGTGCAAACTCGCATTACTCCCGCTGATCTCCCAGGAGAGAGAAGCAGGCCCCCGCCGAGGTGCGGGAAGGGGCACTGAGGCTGAGGGAAAAGGCTGGAATTGTGACGAGCTGGGTCCGTGCGCTGTGTCTCCGATCAGCCAGTCAGACAAATGACAGTAAGAGCAGCATTTTGAGGAGCCCTCCTGACAACAAGTCTGAACTCATCCTGCAGCCTTCAGGGGCATTGCTCCCCGCCTACTGCTTTGATGTAAATGTTCCGACAGAAGGAAACATTTTCATAAGCAGCAGCAGAAGTTTGGTACAGTCTTTTCCAATAGTCAGCAGCTGTGGTGACATCCACAAAGGGGCACCTCGATTGCGGGAACCCAGCTGTGTTCTGTAATGATTTTATAACTGTGTTTCCAGATAATCAAGTCTGATTTTTACCTTTATCCTGCTAGGAGAGAGTACAGTAGAACAGAGCACACACAACATCCAGGCCACCTGGTAACTCAGAGTGATGTTTTGAGATTCAGTTTAAGCAGAAGATGAGCAACATGGTAAAACGACAAGTTTTTTTTTCAGTGATGGTTGTACGTACTCAGTCTGTGCTTCATTGAGTGAACCAAATGGTGATTATACAGAAAGTATTTGCTTTTACGGGTAAGTATATATAATACAGAGGCACTAAGACCACTGAAAAGTCAGAGTGGAGTCAGCTCTCTAGCCTTAGCTAAGAGCCAGGTGGCTTTTAGCTCATGCTAGGCTCATGGCTTTCGTCCCTAAGGTCGCAGGTTCAGTCCCTCCTGCTGGTTTTATATATATATAATAAAGTATATTGTTCTTGCTTTTCGGTTAATAATCAACTATATTCATTGTTGACATGGGTCTACAGGTAGGTAGATTTCGACATTTTTCAAATGTCATGAAGTGCTTTCTGAGGGTAAGAAATTTCCGTTAATTGAGAATAATGCGTTTTAGACTTCCTCCCTCCTGCACACATGCTCTACTGAGGATTATGAAGGGTTTGTAAGACTGCAGTTGTGGAGTTAGGGTCTAGAATTCAAGTGATCGATAGGACTAGAAGTGTCTACATCTCCTGCCCTACTGTTGCAAACACTTAGCAACTTAACTTGTAGCATACCAATAGTCTCCTTGCTTTAAAGAGGATTACTCCTGTGAGTAAAGATAAGCACATGTGTAAGTGTTTACAGGATCAGAGTCTAAGCATCTTCCTTAGACAACTGAGCTGATGCTGTGTTTTAAAGATAGCACTCACTGTTGAATTAGTGGCATCCCTTCCCATGGATTTTTTCCAGGGACAAACAAGTACATCTTTGTTTTATTTGTGTTGCAGTAGACATTGGGGATCTAATTTCTTGCACTTATTAGCAGAACATCTATCTAGATATTTTAGAAATGGGCATCAGTCTTTCTGTCTGTCTGTCTGTCCGTCTGTAAGTCTGTTTGTTCAAGAGCTCCTCCTAAACAGTAAGAGTGAGGACCACCAAATTGTGGTAGGCAGCTTCCTCTTATCGTAACTTAAAGCAAGGTCAGGGTTTGGTTGTGCCAGGAAAGCAGGAAGGGAGCTATATGTAGAGTGACCACTGGGGACAGCTGCACCACCAACCGGGTAGCCAGCAGGGCTGGGACTCCACCATCTTGCCTGCCACTAGAGCGGGTAAGTAGCCCTCCGGTCCAAACCCTTCCCCCCCTACCCGGCCCTTGGGCACAGGGCCGGAGGGGAGGGAGAGAGAAGGACCTTGGCTGCTGGGTGTGTGTGTTGGGGGAGACAGAAGCCCCCTGGCAGCTGGGGGTGGGTTCAGGGGAGATGGAAGGCCCCTGGTAGGCAGGAGGGTTGGGGGGCAGAGAGAAGACCCCAGCCGGAGAGGCTAGGAGGAGGAGGAGAAAGCCCCACCAAATGGACCCCCTGCCTTGAGCCCTTCCTCCCCCCCCCCCAAACATCACTCTCGCCCCCCTACACCTCCAGCTTACTGCCCTGCTCCCCCCGCAACATCCCCAAGACCCTGGCCTGGCTCCTTCCACATGCCAGCTCCCTTCTCTGAAGGAGCCGGGCACAGCCGGGTAAGTCTGCTGGTTATCTAACAGTCTTGTCATCTTCAAAGCTAAATTATTTTGCGTGTCAGCATTTTAAGGTCCTACAAAACATATGAAACCGCCATTCGACGTGGGCTGGCTTGGTATGTAGCACTAGGCTAGCGTAACGCCCGATGGCGGAAGCAGGTTAGGGGCAAACCTGAGCAGGGTCTAATGTGTGTGGGCATTAGGGTTGCTAGTTCTGCTTGGACATGTTCCTCAAGGTTTCAAAACACAATCTCCAGGACAGTCCTAGAGGAT